AGCGGTTTCTGGTGCCTTTGGCCCTGGTCGAGTGTGGGACTGTGGGACTCCGGTTGTGAGTCGGAATTAAAGAACTATTGGGAAATCGGGGTGCTGACCCATCTTCCTTTCTGAAACCACATCCGGATGGAGGTTTAGGCGCTGATTGTTTAGGACCTGTTTACCAGCATATCCTTGTGGTCCAGTCCCCCACTATGCGGAAGGAAGGCATTTGGGCCCCCCGTGGATGCCACATGTTTCAGGCTACATGTGCCAGTCGACTGACGCATCGCAAATCACCATGGCAACCTCCGCCGTGCCGGAACGTGGCGTTTAGCATCACAGAGTTTGAGCTCACCAGATCAGTCAAGGTCGCAGTAAACAGTCCACTCAGCACAAACACGCTCATTCAGAGCCCCAGGAGAAAAAACTCACTACAGCAAACATTTATATTTCTTTAAGCATATCTTGTATTTCATTTAGCAAGTCTATTTTCATTTATATTTCTAATTAATTATTATAGATTATTTATTTATTTAGTCTATATTTTTTCTCTATTTGGACATGCAGATATTTGTTTGTTTGTTTCTCTTTTGTCAAGTATATTTAAAAATTTTCCTCCATTTTGTCAAGCAAATCTATTTTATTCTATTTTGTTTTTCTCTATTTGGCTAAAGATATTTCTTTCTTTCTTTCTTTCTTTCTTTCTTTCTTATCTATCCATCCTCTATTTTCATTTTATTTATATATTTTTCCACAATTTTGTCAAGCAAATCTATTTTTATTCTATTTTGTTCACTTTAGAAGAAAAAAGGTTTATTCTATTATTTTATATTATTTACTATATTTGAAACTTTATTTTTTAATTATTTATATATATTTTTTGTCCATTTTGTCAAGCAAATATCTTTCTTTCTTTCTTTCTTTCTTTCTTTCTTACTCTGTCCTCTGTTTATCTTTATTCTATTTGCATATTTTATCCAGAATTTTGTCAAACTGATTTTTTTATATTCTATTAAAAAAATTTTTTATTTATATAGTATATATTAATATTATTATGATATACTTATTTTTTTATATACTTATATTATTAACATTCATGCAACTTAAAAAGTAGATCATAGCGAAAGCTTTGCCAAGGTCATGGGTTCAATTCCCAAGCCAGGGAATGCATAAACCGATAAAAATGTATTCCTTGAATGCAGCACATAATCAGTATTGTTATTTGCCCCATGCTAACGTCAAACTGCATTGAAATCAATTGTGAACTGATTTCTCTTCAAGTGTTATTTGTATAAAACACTAATGTATGAGTTACTTCATATGAAGAACACTCCAAATCGGTCAGATATGCGTGTCTATTTCAATTAAGAAGTCTGTAGACATTGAGGCAACTCATGAGGATTTGGAACAGAACCTCAATCTGACAGCCAGACTGTCAAACTAACCAACCAGAGATTGTGCTTAGTGAGGGAAACGTCTGCCAGTGCAACGATACAGGAACTCAAGCGAGACACGGACGTCCTGAATAAATCCTGTGTCCTCAGACGTCCAGAAGCTTTTGTGTATTTTCGAGAAGTCAGTAAAGTGTGATAATAGCTCAGATCTTCAATGACTAACCTTAAAACAGACCGTCCACTGACCTTCAGTGGAGAGAGAAAGATGGAAATCTCTCAGAGCATAGAGGAGGGTGGAACGAAAGAGGGCTTGTGATGATTTTTGGGTAAGCGGTTTGTTTAAGTTAATGCATTTGTGTGTGTGTGTGTGTGTGTGTGTGTGATTGTGTTTGTGTTTGTGTGTGTGTTATATATTAAAAGAAAGAGTAAAAGGTGGCAGACAAGATTAAAGGAAGGATTAAAAGTAACCTTGAAGTATCTCAAGAGGTGAAAAAAGGCAGACAAGAAAGTCCACACATCGTCACGTCTCTCCAGAGGTCTGTGTTTTAATAGTGTTTCCCTGTTCGTGCTGTATCTGATACTCCATTGAGTGATCTGGTTGTGACGCCCTTGAGATCTAGAGCCTCAGCACAGACATAAAAGTCAATGGTGACAAAACCTCTGTTCTAAACACAAGTGAACAACACAATACTAAAATATATAACATTAAAACATGTAGCACACATATATATTGAATAAAATACAATTAAAAACAAATAAGATTAAGCATATCTATCTATCCATTTTATTTATTTAAATGCTGTCTAGGTAGGAAGCTCACTTTTTATAACATAGCTATAGAGTCTGTCTTAGATGTCTTTCTTCACAAGTTTGCAGTCTTAGGCTGGAGTTTATCTGCTCTGCAGAAGTCAAACATTCATGATGAGTCATCGGCACACATGCTCATTAGGAGCCGCTAATGAACAGGAAGCCTAGTGTGTGATACCACTGGTGGTCTGTTCGTACAACACAAACTGTATGTCTGTCAGACAAAATATGACAGTGAATGAGCATCGAATAGAATGATATTTGCATACAAAGCTCGCCTTCGGCCAGACACACATACTCTGTGTAAATATGCAAATGCAGTCACAAATGCTTGGCCAATGCACTGCATGCATCCTTATGTACATAACGGCGTGCTTAACATGCGTTCTTGTGGTACTGTCATGGCGACAAACCTCAGCACTCAAGGCGACAATAGAGTTTCCTTCAAATGTCTGCGACATTAAAACGAATGTGGAGTTAGTCATGCAGCTAGAATGTTTATTATAAGATCTAACCTAACTTTAAACTGTTGCTCTGACCTGTAGGTTACGATAATGCCTGCTAGGTTGTTTTTTGTTTTGTTTTGTTTTGTTTTGTTTTGTTTTGTTTTGTTTTGTTGTGTTGTGTTTTACTTTATTTTTAATTTATTTTATTTGTAATTTATTTTACATTTCTCAATACCAATTTGATAGTTCCGTCATTGTTTAAATAATATTTGTTTAAATGTAATTGTTTAAATAATATTTATAATGTATAATAATAATATTATTAATAAACCATAATAAAAGTCTATGGGTTACGTCACGGACACTACGTCCGTGTTTTTATACAGTCTATGGTTAGAACGAGCCGTTTTAGGTAGCCGTGGCTGACTTAACTTTTATAAAGAATATCTCTTTGGATTTGAGACTTTAGTCTTTGCAACTTTACAGATCTTCTTTATGCACCAAGAGCTTGTAACACTCCAAAGAGAAAGGAAAAATTGAAATCGCATCATATGACCCCTTTAAACTTGCCTCAAACAACATTTGCTTTAAGCAATTGTTTTTCCTTCGAAAATGCAAATCGTTTGTTTTGTTTTTGGTGCCTTGTGTCAGAATTGAATCCACAGCAAGACTTGGTTTGAATCTATTTTATTTTATATTTATTTTTATCTCTTTTTCCCCCTTATCTCCACTGTCCTATCTGTCCTATTCAATTAAATCCAGGACATTAAACCCAAAAACTTTTTCCTAATCAAATTCTGTCTTCTTTTTCTTCTTTTTTGGCTGAGATGTTTGGTGAAACAGTTGGAGAGAGGTGAGGCTTCTGTTGTCGACTTGAAGAAAAACCTAGAATATGCTGCATCTGTTTTGGAATCTGTCTACATTGAAGAAACAAGGTAAGCACAACACATACATTGTGAATTTCTCTTAGTCTTTTTTTTTTGTGGCAAATATTAAACCGACAAATTTGGGGTCAGAGGTTTATGTTGTTCCTAGAGTGTTTAATCTCTAAAGCTGCTCTTAAACCTCTATAAGAGGGATTGCATGTGCTCTGTAATGCTGTCTCCTTACTGCCATGAGTGCTCCAGCATTTGATGTGTTTTTATTCAGTTGTTTAGACAGAAATGGGAACATTGGCAACCATCTGAGAGGGAAATGTGCCACGCATCAAATTAAATGCAAATTTTGCATCATTCGCTCACCCTTATGTTTTTCCAAACCTGTTTAATTTACTTTTAAAATACACAGAAGGAACATTTTTGCTGAATCTACCTATTTTTGTTGTTCTTTTTTATGCACTTGTAATGAATAGGAACTGGAGCTTTCAAGCTTCAAACTGGATGCAAAATGACATAAAGTATCATAATTATAGTCCATACAAGTTTGTGTGCCATATTGTGTTTCCCATATCTTAACTTTATAAGAAGAGCAGACCAAATTAATGAATAAAAAGTCTTGATGTCCTCCCTCGCTCTTTTCAGCATGTTCATAAGAGTTCACGAGAGAAATAGCAATGCTTTTTTGAATGAACTATTTGATTCTGTTCACAAAACCAGTTTCAGTGATTCATTCATGAATCAGACTAATTGAGTTCTTATGATCAACTCAGTGATCCACTCGAAGACATAATTATGGGAAGTCTAAATTATGAAATACTAAGTCATAATTATGAGAAAGTCTAATTAATTTGTCATAATTGACTGTCATAATTTTGACTCGTCATATTATAATTATGACTTTAACTCGTACTTTTGAATTTTTTTGTCATAAATATGAGTTAGTATGTCAAGTTACCGTTTAGTCACAATTTTGACTTTTTGTCATAATTTTGACATCTAATTTCATCTTTTAATTTGTAATTTTGACGTCATAATTTCAACTTTTTTGTGTCAGAATTATCATTTTGTATGTCAATTTCAACTGTCACAATGATGTCTTATCTCATAATTTGGACTTTTCTCAATTTTGACTTGACATAATTTCGTGCAACTTTACAGATCTTCTTTATACACCAAGAGCTTGTAACACTCCAAAGAGAAAGGAAAAATTGAAATCGCATCATATGACCCCTTTAAACTTGCCTCAAACAACATTTGCTTTAAGCAATTGTTTTTCCTTCGAAAATGCAAATCGTTTGTTTTGTTTTTGGTGCCTTGTGTCAGAATTGAATCCACAGCAAGACTTGGTTTGAATCTATTTTATTTTATATTTATTTTTATCTCTTTTTCCCCCTTATCTCCACTGTCCTATTCATTAAAGACAATTAAATCCAGGACATTAAACCCAAAAACTTTTTCCTAATCAAATTCTGTCTTCTTTTTTTTCATTTCAGGCTGAGATGTTTGGTGAAACAGTTGGAGAGAGGTGAGGCTTCTGTTGTCGACTTGAAGAAAAACCTAGAATATGCTGCATCTGTTTTGGAATCTGTCTACATTGAAGAAACAAGGTAAGCACAACACATACATTGTGAATTTCTCTTAGTCTTTTTTTTTTGTGGCAAATATTAAACCGACAAATTTGGGGTCAGAGGTTTATGTTGTTCCTAGAGTGTTTAATCTCTAAAGCTGCTCTTAAACCTCTATAAGAGGGATTGCATGTGCTCTGTAATGCTGTCTCCTTACTGCCATGAGTGCTCCAGCATTTGATGTGTTTTTATTCAGTTGTTTAGACAGAAATGGGAACATTGGCAACATGCTCCTAAAATATGAATGTTAAAGGACATCTGGAGTGAAACAAGGGATTTCCCCCTTTTTTATTTCCCAGAAGCTCTCACACACTGACAGGAGAGTGTTATCTCTTTCTGACAGGATGTACCGACGGACCTCCAACATGGTGGGGCTGAGCTATCCGCCCAGCGTGATCACGGCCTTGAAGGTAATGGAACGAGCCAATCAGATTCTAGGTTGTGACCTCAAATGCACATATGCACAAACACACGCACAACCTGGTCACAGCATGAATGCGGGACGTGTGAATGCGACACATTTTGTATGCACAATAGCTTATGTGAGAAACAACAAGGGCGAGATGGCAAAATCAAACCGTCTCCAGGCAAACAGCCCTGTTTAATCAACCAAAGTGCACAATTGATCTTTCCCTCGGCCAGCTGGGTTACCTGGCACACACACACGGTTTAGACAGGACAGAGAGATTTTAGCCTCTTTTTTGGATACTTGTCTAATAGAATGCAGCATATGTGGACAACAGAGATTTCTTTTTATCACAAACACACAAAATCACGCACTTGATTTATTTAAATGACTGTGGACATAATCTGAATTATATACTGATGTGTATAGAAAAACATAATGGGTCAGTAAGAAAGATTGAAAGGTTAAAAGAAATTAAAGTTTTTGTTGAGCAAAGAAGCAGTAACTTGATCAAAAGTGACAGTAAAGACATTTATAATGTTACAAAAGATTTCTTTTGAACTTTGTTCATCAAAGAATCCTGAAATAAAGCATCACGGTTTCCACAAAGATATTAAGCAGCACAACTGTTTTCAACATTGATAATAATAAATGCTTTTTGAGCAGCAAATCAGCATATTAGAATGATTTCTAAAGGATCATGTGACACTGAAGACTGGCATAATGATGCTGAAAAATCAGTTTTGTATCACAGGAATAAATCACAATATAAAATATAATCGAATAGAAAGCAGGTATTTTAAAGTGTAATCATTTTTCACAAGATTGCCGTTTTTACTGTTTTTGATTAAATAAATGCAGCTTTTGTGTTCATGAGACTTCTGTTCAAAACTTTTGAATGCTAGTGTATTAGGCAAATGCAAAATATGCTGATTTTAATCCTTTTCTCCACATGAAATTATAGTCCAAATTATACATCCAGTTATCTGCTGCGATTCGATCACGAATGCCATTTCAGAGCTGTTATCAGCTGCATCTGTTCTCCTATCAGCTTCTCATTCATTTTTGATTTCAATAATTTGTGGCAGGACGGCTTCGAGTTACTCCCTTCTGTCATTTCAGTCATAAATCTGCAATCTTTTAAAATATTCTTTTGTTCTGTTGCCTATTGTGATTCTAAAATTCTGGCTGTCTGCACTCAAAGTGATTGTCAAAGATGTTCTTGTGAGGCTGTGTTTGGAATATCATATCATATATTCTACTCTTACTAACCCTTTTACTGTGTCAAATGAACCAGAAGAAGTGTGCAATATGGTCACTTCAGGTGTAAAATAAAAAAAGATTAAATTAAATTAAAACATAACTTCACCTATGTGTTTACCCAACGCCTGTGTTGTGTTGAGTACTACGAGTTAAACATCTAGGTTTTTGAACATGCAGTATTTGTAAACATCCAACCCCATTTAAATTCTACATGCAACACAGCACAAACCTTTTTCTGAGGTCTGTGGATGAAAGTCAGATGAACAGAATAATGTGGTGTCCTAGTGGTTAAGCCTCAAGGCTGGTATGACAAAGGGGCGAAGGTTCAAACTTTGGAAATGGAATAGAGCTCTCCCGCAGTCCCTTATAACTCTTGTGCCCTTGAGTGAGTCAGTTTGCTTCTCATTGCTTTATGTGCAGGTAAATGTATAAAGTGTCTGCTAGGTGAGAAGGATAAGTAACAGAATACTAATACACATGTTCTTGTCAAACAATAGCGGTAATTTGCTGGCTCTGTCCACCTAATCTTAATAGAAAATGAAAGTTAATAAGCTGAAACTAATGACGGCTTCGTTTTATATAAAGAGTTTTATCCTTTTGCCTTGTCCAGACCTCATTCATAAAGATGTGTAGAGTCACGTGTTTTAATGTTTTTGAAAGAAGCCTCTTATGCACACGAAAACTGCATTTATGTGATCAAAAATACAGTTAAAATCAGTAATAATGTGAAATATTATTATAGTTTACAGTAACTGTTTTGTGTTTAATATGTTTTAAAATGTAATTTATTCCTGTGATGCAAAGCTGAATTTTCAACATCATTACTCCAGGCACAAACACACAAAATCACGCACTTGATTTATTTAAATGACTGTGGACATAATCTGAATTATATACTGATGTGTATAGAAAAACATTATGGGTCAGTAAGAAAGATTGAAAGGTTAAAAGAAATTAAAGTTTTTGTTGAGCAAAGAAGCAGTAACTTGATCAAAAGTGACAGTAAAGACATTTATAATGTTACAAAAGATTTCTTTTGAACTTTGTTCATCAAAGAATCCTGAAATAAAGCATCACGGTTTCCACAAAGATATTAAGCAGCACAACTGTTTTCAACATTGATAATAATAAATGCTTTTTGAGCAGCAAATCAGCATATTAGAATGATTTCTAAAGGATCATGTGACACTGAAGACTGGCATAATGATGCTGAAAAATCAGTTTTGTATCACAGGAATAAATCACAATATAAAATATAATCGAATAGAAAGCAGGTATTTTAAAGTGTAATCATTTTTCACAAGATTGCCGTTTTTACTGTTTTTGATTAAATAAATGCAGCTTTTGTGTTCATGAGACTTCTGTTCAAAACTTTTGAATGCTAGTGTATTAGGCAAATGCAAAATATGCTGATTTTAATCCTTTTCTCCACATGAAATTATAGTCCAAATTATACATCCAGTTATCTGCTGCGATTCGATCACGAATGCCATTTCAGAGCTGTTATCAGCTGCATCTGTTCTCCTATCAGCTTCTCATTCATTTTTGATTTCAATAATTTGTGGCAGGACGGCTTCGAGTTACTCCCTTCTGTCATTTCAGTCATAAATCTGCAATCTTTTAAAATATTCTTTTGTTCTGTTGCCTATTGTGATTCTAAAATTCTGGCTGTCTGCACTCAAAGTGATTGTCAAAGATGTTCTTGTGAGGCTGTGTTTGGAATATCATATCATATATTCTACTCTTACTAACCCTTTTACTGTGTCAAATGAACCAGAAGAAGTGTGCAATATGGTCACTTCAGGTGTAAAATAAAAAAAGATTAAATTAAATTAAAACATAACTTCACCTATGTGTTTACCCAAAGCCTGTGTTGTGTTGAGTACTACGAGTTAAACATCTAGGTTTTTGAACATGCAGTATTTGTAAACATCCAACCCCATTTAAATTCTACATGCAACACAGCACAAACCTTTTTCTGAGGTCTGTGGATGAAAGTCAGATGAACAGAATAATGTGGTGTCCTAGTGGTTAAGCCTCAAGGCTGGTATGACAAAGGGGCGAAGGTTCAAACTTTGGAAATGGAATAGAGCTCTCCCGCAGTCCCTTATAACTCTTGTGCCCTTGAGTGAGTCAGCTTGCTTCTCATTGCTTTATGTGCAGGTAAATGTATAAAGTGTCTGCTAGGTGAGAAGGATAAGTAACAGAATACTAATACACATGTTCTTGTCAAACAATAGCGGTAATTTGCTGGCTCTGTCCACCTAATCTTAATAGAAAATGAAAGTTAATAAGCTGAAACTAATGACGGCTTCGTTTTATATAAAGAGTTTTATCCTTTTGCCTTGTCCAGACCTCATTCATAAAGATGTGTAGAGTCACGTGTTTTAATGTTTTTGAAAGAAGCCTCTTATGCACACGAAAACTGCATTTATGTGATCAAAAATACAGTTAAAATCAGTAATAATGTGAAATATTATTATAGTTTACAGTAACTGTTTTGTGTTTAATATGTTTTAAAATGTAATTTATTCCTGTGATGCAAAGCTGAATTTTCAACATCATTACTCCAGGCTTCAATGTCACATGATCCTTCAGAAATTATCCTAATATCTCCATTTACTGCTCAAGAAATAGCATTTATTTGAAATAGAAGTTTTTTGTAGCGTTATAAATGTTTACTGTAATTTTTGATCAAATTAATGCATCCTTGCGAAATAAAAATCATTTCTTAAAAAAATAGTCTCACTCACCCTAAACTTTTAAACAACAATGTATTGTAACAAAAACTAAAAATAAAATTTTTTATAATTCATCATATTAATGTTAATATAATATATTATAAATGTAAATTAATATGTTTACACTTTCATCACTTGCCGTTTTTACTGTTTTTGATTAAATAAATGCAGCTTTTGTGTTCATGAGACTTCTGTTCAAAACTTTTGAATGCTAGTGTATTAGGCAAATGCAAAATATGCTGATTTTAATCCTTTTCTCCACATGAAATTATAGTCCAAATTATACATCCAGTTATCTGCTGCGATTCGATCACGAATGCCATTTCAGAGCTGTTATCAGCTGCATCTGTTCTCCTATCAGCTTCTCATTCATTTTTGATTTCAATAATTTGTGGCAGGACGGCTTCGAGTTACTCCCTTCTGTCATTTCAGTCATAAATCTGCAATCTTTTAAAATATTCTTTTGTTCTGTTGCCTATTGTGATTCTAAAATTCTGGCTGTCTGCACTCAAAGTGATTGTCAAAGATGTTCTTGTGAGGCTGTGTTTGGAATATCATATCATATATTCTACTCTTACTAACCCTTTTACTGTGTCAAATGAACCAGAAGAAGTGTGCAATATGGTCACTTCAGGTGTAAAATAAAAAAAGATTAAATTAAATTAAAACATAACTTCACCTATGTGTTTACCCAACGCCTGTGTTGTGTTGAGTACTACGAGTTAAACATCTAGGTTTTTGAACATGCAGTATTTGTAAACATCCAACCCCATTTAAATTCTACATGCAACACAGCACAAACCTTTTTCTGAGGTCTGTGGATGAAAGTCAGATGAACAGAATAATGTGGTGTCCTAGTGGTTAAGCCTCAAGGCTGGTATGACAAAGGGGCGAAGGTTCAAACTTTGGAAATGGAATAGAGCTCTCCCGCAGTCCCTTATAACTCTTGTGCCCTTGAGTGAGTCAGTTTGCTTCTCATTGCTTTATGTGCAGGTAAATGTATAAAGTGTCTGCTAGGTGAGAAGGATAAGTAACAGAATACTAATACACATGTTCTTGTCAAACAATAGCGGTAATTTGCTGGCTCTGTCCACCTAATCTTAATATAAAATGACGTCACGTGTTTTAATGTTTTTGAAAGAAGCCTCTTATGCACACCAAAACTGCATTTATGTGATCAAAAATAGTTAAAATCAGTAATAATGTGAAATATTATTATAGTTTACAGTAACTGTTTTGTGTTTAATATGTTTTAAAATGTAATTTATTCCTGTGATGCAAAGCTGAATTTTCAACATCATTACTCCAGGCTTCAATGTCACATGATCCTTCAGAAATTATCCTAATATCTCCATTTACTGCTCAAGAAATAGCATTTATTTGAGATAGAAGTTTTTTGTAGCGTTATAAATGTTTACTGTAATTTTTGATCAAATTAATGCATCCTTGCGAAATAAAAATCATTTCTTAAAAAAATAGTCTCACTCACCCTAAACTTTTAAACAACAATGTATTGTAACAAAAACTAAAAATAAAATTTTTTATAATTCATCATATTAATGTTAATATAATATATTATAAATGTAAATTAATATGTTTACACTTTCATCACTTAAAGTTTGTATAAGAATATGTTTGTCAGTTTATGCTTCAATTTTAGCATAGGATCAAATGCACAGATTTTAGGATCAAATCTGATTGTAAGAGTGTTTTCTAAATGAGGCAGCAGGTTTGTACTGGATGTCCTAGTGGCTTTGCAGCATGATTTTGGCCTCTCTCTCTTGATTTCACAGCAGTCAGTGAATCTGCATATATATATATATATATATCTCCACATACAGCCTAAAGATATTGAAAGCTCTCAGCCGTGACTGAGACGGAGTGCAGGACAAATATTCCAATCTGAGGATGTGAATATTTAATGCAGCATTTTGCAAATGTTCATTGCAACCAACTAATCAAACCTACATAGAACTTCTTTTGAAAGTGATGAGATGAAATAACAGAGGGTCAAACTTAGAGTGTATGGAGGAGAGAGAAAAAAAATGGAGAACACATAAACCACAGGCGGCCATAACGTAGACCAAATCTCCTGTATTATTACTGATGTTCATTTCATGACTCAGGATTGAAATGTACAACGATAGAATCACACATCGTTCATCACAGACCCTGTTTATAAGGGAGGTGAAAGTAATTTATCCGTTATAAAAAAAGAAACGAGTCTGGTATTACTACATTATGTAAAAGCAGCAATTTCTGAGGTTCCAGGACTGTGAACATCTTATCACGTTTATAGGTAAAGGCATCATAAAATAAAGTCTCAGTTGCTATTTCATAGCTCCGAAGATACAAAGAGATCTTATTTGTGATTTTTCTTTTCTATAGGAATTTACTAAAAGTTATACTGTATACACTACTATTCAAAGTAGTGTCAGAAAGATTTTTTTTCTTGAATGAAATTAATACTTTTATTCAGAAATAACGCATTCAGTTTATCAAAAATAACACATTAATAATGTTACATTTCTATTTTAAATAAATGCTGGTCAACTTTGCCTTCACAGAAATAAATTGCATTTTAAATTATACTCAAATAGAAATGTTATTTTAAACGGAAATGTTTTACAATATTAGGATTTTACTATAATGTTGGTTAAATAAATTCAGGCTTGTTGCACATAAGAGACTTTTTTCATTAAAAAAAAAAAAAACTTACCGACCCCAAACTTTTTGAATGGTAATATAGATATTTCATGTTACTATACTCTTTTTTTATTTTTATTTTTTGTTGTTGTTGTTGGTCTAGCATGTGGACACGTGGTCATTTGACGTCTTCACACTGAATGATGCCAGCGGAGATCATGCACTGAAATTTATTTTTTATGAACTTCTCACCAGATACGACATAATCAATCGCTTTAAGGTAAGATGCTCTCTCTTTCTTTTTATTAAAAGTACATAATTTTAAAATTTACCTTCCAGTGATTTCCTCAGTGATATCTGTGGATCTGAGAACATCATAATAGGAAATTGTAAAGCAGAAAGAAACACATCAGATTTGGTCAGTTTTACATTTATTTTATTATTATGTGATTTTAATTGAATTTTAATGTAATTTTTTAAGCACTATTTTCCATGTACAAATTTTTAACTAATACGTTAACCTGAGAATTGTGTATTTACCAACATTGAAATGGCATTTGCTACGTGTTTGGACTCAACCATCCATCATAATGACATTTGATAGCAAAGTCCAGATGATCATCCTCAGATGGCTGTTTGACACTGTATGTCTCCTCAGATCCCTGTTTCTGCTCTGGTGTCTTTTGTGGAGGCCTTGGAGGTGGGCTACAGCAAGCACAGAAACCCTTACCACAACCTAATCCACGCCGCAGACGTCACCCAGACAGTGCATTACCTAGTGCTCAAGACCGGCATGGTTGTAAGTCCATGGTTGTATCCTCCTTCGCAAAAAATGGTGTCCTAGACCCTGTGAATTCAAGCAAAAGTCTTGCCTTTGGGGATTTGTGTATGCTTATGTGTGCTTGGGTAAAATAATCATGTACATCGAGTCCCCTCGGTTGTTTATTATTGTTATTTCTACTGAACCGAGCCGGTGAAGTATGTTTTATTAAGCCTGACACTGCACTTGAGGTATTTATTGAGGTTGGGGTTCTTGGAATAGAAGTAGGTGCAATGGTCCGCTCTCGCTTCACGATGCTGCTCGTATACCAATCAATAGAAAGTTAATCTCCCTCGACGCCTCAAAACACGCTCCTGTCACTCCCGCCGTGGGCTCATTAACCTCTCTGTGATGTGTGGACATCACACTGGCGTGCTGACAAATGATTTGCCCCCTAGCATTTGCACCACTGATGATTTATTTTTGTCATTCTGGCACTTTGGTGATTTAGTGTTAATGTAAGATAATGTTATGCACAGAAGAATAAATGTGCCGAAGAATAATGAACTAATATAATTTCATTTCCTTCATGCTTATCTTCAGTTTAGCAGAATGATATTATTTATTAAAGAATACGTAATGGGGCTTTACATTTTCTGATAAGGAAGTGTTTTTCATTGAACATGAATGGTGTTTGGAGTGATTGTTTTAGCACATTTTTGCTTCTGTTCATCTGAAATTTCCATCTATTGTTTTCCTCAGTCTGCATGTTAAAACAAACATACACAGCTAGTGTAGTTTAATAGATGAACAAATGACTCTTTTGAGTCGGTTCTTTTTAGTGAATCAAATAAATTGCAGGGTAACCAGTGTAGTCTGATTCTTGAATGAATCACTCTCTTGAACCAGCTCTTTAGTGAATGAAAAATATCCAGGCTGATCAGTGTAGTCTGATATTCTTAGTAGTCAGCTCTTTTTAGTGAATCAGATATATACTGGGTGACCAGTAGTCTGATTTCTGAACAAATGACTCTTTAGAGCCGGTTCGTTTTGGTGAATCGGATATAGCCTATACAGGATGAGCAGTAGAGTCTGATTCCTACTCCTATGACTCGGATCTTTCAATGAATAGTTCAAAAAGATGAGCTACTTGTTTGAATCAGTCTCAGATACTGTCCTGTATAATTTACAGCATTAGCAGATAGAGAATTTATTTCACTTGTTGGCCCAATGGACATTATAACAGCAATATACCCAAAAGAATTAACTGACTGTATCAAAACACTTCAGTAAAAATGGGATTTCCTCTTGTTATCTCACTTCTTCCAGCACTGGTTAACCGAGTTGGAGATCTTCGCTATGCTATTCGCTGCTGCTGTGCACGATTACGAACATACTGGCACCACAAACAACTTCCACATACAGGCCAGGTACTATTGCTATTAAACCCCATTATCATTCAGTTCAGCAAACCCGAATACATCAATGGCCTTTAACAGAACTAATGTTTTTTACAGATCCGACACAGCCATACTATACAATGACCGTGCCGTACAGGAGAACCACCATGTTAGCGCTGCATATCGCCTCCTGCAGGAAGATGATGAAATGAACATCCTCTACAATTTGTCGAAAGATGACTGGAGGTTAGAAACGTGTTGCAAACCTCAAACTCATATGTGAACCTGGACCACAAAACCAGTCATAAGGGTTAATTTTTCGAAATTGAGATTTATAGATCATATGAAAGCTGAATAAATAAGCTTTCCATTGATGTATGGTTTGTTATGATAGGACAATATTTGGCCGAGATACAACTATTTGATAATCTGGAATCTGAGGGTGCAAAAAAATCAAAATATTGAGAAAATCGCCTTTAAAGTTGTCCAAATGAAGTTCTTAGCAATGCATATTACTAATCAAAAATTAAGTTTTAATATATTTACAGTAGGAAATTTACAAAATATCTTCATGGAACATGATCTTTACTTAATATCCTAATGATTTTTGGCATAAAGGAAAAATCAATAATTTTGACCCATACAATGTATTTTTGGCTATTGCTACAAATATACCCCAACAACTTAAGACTGGTTTTGTGGTCCAGGGTCACATATTAGCTCAAAAAGTAATCTTAGTTTTAGGTTAGAAACTAAAACAGCATAGGAGAACTTATGCACAATTAACTTATTTTCTAGTTCTTTACTGAATGTAACCTGTTTTAAAGTCAATACTGAAAACGTCTCTTTCTCTCAGAGAATTGCGGGCTCTGGTGGTCGAGATGGTCCTGGCCACTGACATGTCCTGTCACTTCCAGCAGATTAAGGCCATGAAGAACTTCCTCCAGCAGCCTGAAGCGTAAGTGCGGTCGCACACATCAGGGTAACCAGGAGGAGGGGCTTTAGCTAATCACACACTGTTCACGCAAAAACATTTCTGCATCTACAGATATTCATATCCACATAATGAGAGGTTGGACAGAGTGATTATAACAGCTCTGAGGGGCTGAACATCTCTGTCCTCTGCAGGATCGATAAACCTAAGGCCTTATCCCTGTTACTGCACACCGCTGACATCAGCCACCCTGCCAAAAACTGGAACATGCACCACCGCTGGACCACCTCACTGCTGGAGGAGTTCTTCAGACAGGTCAGTGTCCCGAGACATTTCAGTAGCAGCATTAAGTCTTCTTATAATTATAGAAGCACCTAAATCTCATCAAAGCTGTTTCTGGGTCATACTTCATATTTCATAAACTCAAAAGAAAGAAATATGAAATTCTGTATTTTGCCTGAAGTAAGCAAAAAAAAGCCTATTTTTAAGACCATAAAATGTATTGTGATTATTATTTTAAATTAAGAATTTCAAAATAATAATTGATTGTTAGTTTGTTTAAAACATATAAAATAAAGATTAAAGGTTATTTATATAAAAGAGGTTATTTAATAATAAATCAATTATTTAATAATATTTATGACAGTATTTATTTATTTGTTAGCGTTAGTTAATAAAAATACAACTACTCATTGTTAGAACATGCTATCTCAGGTACATTTAATAATATGAACAGACACAACTTTCGATTTTAATGTGTTAGTAAATGTTGAAATTAACATTGAGATTAATAAATGCTTTAGAAGTATTTTTTATTGTTCGTTTGTTAACTAATGTTTACAAATTGAACCTTATTGTAAAGTGTTATCAAAATATTGAACAAAAATAAATAAATGTAAAATATATTTAAACTATACTGTAAAATATTTATACATATGGTAGTATTTATTGTACTTCATGTATGCAGGTTTATTTTAACAATAAACAAAAACAAGTAAATTATTTTATAAATTATCAGAATGAGATTTTTATTATTTATTTATTTATTGCATCAAGGTAATACAAATTTGAGAAAATGCCCTTAATTGTCTTTAAACTATACTGTGCAAATGCAAAAATCCTGCAAATAGGCTTCCATATGAAAAAAAGAGATGATTTCTTATTTTTCCTTTCTGATTTGATTAGAATAAATGCTGAATAATTTATACATAGACTATAGTAAATGTATGTAAACAAAATAGAATATACAGTTGTCGTCGAGAATATCCTGTTTACTAGCTACCAAATAAGCGCCTCAAACAAATCTCCGATTTGAATTTCATTCGCCGAAAACCTTGCAAATCCATCCTAGCTCTTTCTAGGAAGTGCTCATCATTGCAGCAGCCCAATACCTTGTAAACACAACTCTGTTTCCCAGTGGGCCTATAAAAACCCTGAGCACCCTGACTCCCGGAAATTGTGTTCACAATCAGACCACAGATTGAGGTTTTGAGAAAGCTCTTGCTATTTTCGTGGGCAATATGCATCAGGCGGGGCGTGAATGGCCTGGGGGTATGCTGTCTGAAGCTGAGAGCAGTGTCCTGTAGACGTTTTTATGGTTCTTCAATCATACAGTGAGCGTTTTCTCTCTCTCTCTCTCTCTCTCTCTCTCTCTCTCGCGGTCTGTTGCTCTCTCATTTCATCGTCCATATTCCCATTCTGTGGTCATCAGCACTCTGATCTAATCTCGAATTGAGTCTTAATCTTATTTAGCATTCCAAGCCTGTAACGTCCACTGTAAAAATCCCATTAATCTCCTCTAAACATCCATTTCCCGCATTCTAACCTCAACATTTGAATCTCCGCTGCTTCACTCTATGCCATCAGCTTTTGCATCTCTATGAAGATGTAGAAAGTCATTCAGAATTGCTTTCCAGGACATGTTCTTTCTTGTATGATTGAATAAATAATGAAGTAGAGCTCAATTTCCTTGCTAAATGAAAACGGATCTAATTCTGATCTAAACACAGTGTGTTTTGAAGAGATGAGTATCTCCTCATAGTGCCAAACCAATTAACTTCCCATTGTCTGATTTGATATCACACCGGTCCCATCTTGGTGTTCCTACAAGAGTGAAATTGAATCTTTGATTTATTGACATGTTTAAGCTAATAAATGATCAGTTCATTACCGGTAAATCACCCCCAGAAATTATAATTGCAATTTCAGGGTCAGGAATGAAATATCGCTCAGCGTTGCGCAGGAAATTAATGGTGACTGTGAAAAGTACGATTGGCAAAACATCCTGAGGAACGTAATTTGTATAGGAGTCTATGTTGTTTAGAGGTCATAGCTGTATTATTCGGCCAAAAGACAATCATAGCAAAGATAATTACAGCTATTGTTTCTCAGGATTATCTATGATGTTTGTAAATGAAGTGCGATGAACTGATTCAGAGAATAATGAGAATGCAGCTGAGCTGAACACAAGGGATTCCAGTTATGGTGAAATGAACTGAAACCTAAACCAAAAGCTTTATTTTGTCTGGATTGGTCAGTAACAAAGAGGTCATATCATAAGATATTTAATTTCTCGATATATTACAAAAAGTCAGTATACTACTGTATGTAAACATTCTGTGAGGTTCAGAGTTAAAAATTATGGTATTACACTGTATCAGTGTCACATTATAAAATCATTTATTTTTGGTGATTTTTAAATGTAAATTTACCAAAAAAGACAACTGTGTTAGTAAAACGAAATATGAGAAATAAGTAAATATCACTTGTGAGCTGCATATTTTTGTTGTGTGTCATTTCCAAATAAGCTGCAGTCTTGACAAATTATGCACAAAAAGTGTGAAAACATTATTTAATTGGGCAATTTTAGGATACATACAGTAAATACAAACTAAAAATGTATTTAAAATATATTTATTTTGTGCTAAGTATACTACAAATACATTTACATATTTGTGTGCTTAATAAAAATACCCTGCAATTGTACTTTTGGTATACTAAACTGGTATACTTAAAATCTGCTAAATTGCAACAACTAATTTGATGCTTAATGCATTTTAATTGTGCGGAAATAGTGCTGAGGTCCAACTAAAGATATACTGAATTATATTTGATTGTGTTAAATTGGAACTATTGCAAGTATACTTCAGGTACACTTTAAAAATCTTGCATTTAAAGACTGATATTATACAGTCCTTACAATCCTGGATCATACAATCCTTGTTAATAGTGATATTAAACACATTTTAGGCATAATATTAAGAAATGTGCATTGTGCAGTAAAGAAATACTCCAAATAACGTTTAATTATAATTTTATATCAGAAAGTCTTAAGTGATATGTCAATAAATATGTTAATGGATTTGATGTATACTTAGTATGAAATATATGTATTTTAAATAAATTTATAGTTTTTTATTTTTTTACTAGTGGTGCTAACTATGAAATTAGTTTTAGCAAGACAATGTAGGCAAGTCCGGAAATGCTAAAAATGTCATTTCAGACAGTCATTTCCATCACAGAATGCTATTAAGCATAATATATAAATTGAGAAATGGAGAATTACTCATTACTTTGAGAAAGAAAAAAAAATACAGAGTGTGAAAAGTGTTTAAAGATATTTATTTTCTACACAGACATCTACATTTACATAGATGTCTTAAAGACACAGCAACAAAAAAGCCTATTTAAGAGAGTTAGAGGTGAAAATGGTCATAAAAAATTGCTTTCTTGTTTAAAGAAACAACTACCAGGCAATATGACAGTCTATGATATGACCCCTTTAACCCCTTAACTGTCACCATCCCACCTGTGGGACGCTTGGCGCTCTTTTTATTGTTGTCCTTTTTCTCTATCAAATATTTTAGTAATCATCATAAAGTATATATCATTTGAAAGCTTAGAAGTCCAAGATTCATCCTGTGAAAACCATTTTGAAATCGAACATTGCGTTACCATGGAAATGGTACTTTAAAATGTTTTGGCGGTCACCTCCCCCTTAGCGGGCGGTGTCAAGTGTCATATTACAAAATGCATTACGGTCTTTTAGAATCAAACCTTTTTATAATCTTGTCAAAAAACATATCATTGGAAAGGTATTAGCATATTTCATATCATATCATATTTGGTGGTTATTTTGAGATAGAAGTAATATTGACAGAGAAATCTAGACATTTGTGACAGAAAAATGCATTAAAACAAATTTAATAGAGTTTGGATGGCACCTGGTGGCTGTTTGTGGTATGACGCCCTAAATAAAATGTGAAAAAATTTTCATATCAACTTCAAATTTGGAACATAACTTATTTAGACATAAGGCTTTAATTTTATACCAATTTTAGAGTAAAACCTGTTATGTAAAATATTTATAATAAATAAAATAAAATTAATATAGTACATTTTATTTACAGTACATTTAAACTTCTATAACTTTTTGATACTTAATTTTTTTTTTTTATTCCACTTTTTCCACAATAATCTGCTGACTTTCTTCTTTAAAAAGAGACCAACTTTAGGTCTGTATTCCAAAGTGTTAATAAATTACAACAATTTAAGTTTGGATAGTGCACTTTCATGCCTATTTTAAAAAATGTGGGGTGACAGTTAAGGGGTTTAATAATCAGAAATCTTTACTTGAAAAGATGCTAATTGGTGCTGGTGCTCTTCTACTTTTTATTTTAGGGCGATAAGGAGGCAGAGCTTGGACTTCCTTTCTCTCCTTTATGTGATCGCAAGTCTACCATGGTGGCCCAGTCTCAGATCGGTGAGTGATCAAGCTTGTGTGTGAATCAATAGTATAAGGTATTCCCGCGTCTGTGTGTTATGATGCTCATTTCACTTCCCTAACAGGTTTCATTGATTTCATCGTGGAACCCACCTTCACTGTGCTGACAGACATGATTGAGAAAATCGTGACTCCGCTGATCGAAGAAGCCTCACCCTCCGGCCTGGCTGGATTCAGACGCTCCAGGTGAGATTTCGAATGAATGGGTGGCAACAGTGCTAGTCTATTAAAATATTACAGCTCTATTCTCAAAAAACTGACCTCGTTCAAAAGTTTGGGGTCATGAAGATTTTTTTGAAACAAATTAATCAGCATATTAGAATGATTTCTGAAGGATCATGTGACACTGAAGACTGGAGTAATTCAGCTTTGCATCACAGGAATAAATTTCATTTTAAAATATATTCCAATAGAAAACAGTTATTTTAAGTTGTAACATTTCACAATTGTTTTTACTGTATTTGGATCAAATAAATGCAACATTGCACTCTAAAAAATGCTGGGTTAAATATAACCCAGCGCTGGGTTAAAACAACCCAACCGCTGGGTCAAAACAACCCAATATCTGGGTTTGTCCCTTTTTAACCCAGCGCTGGGTTATATTTAACCCAGCATTTTTTAGAGTGTGGTGAGCATAAGAGACTATTAGCTTGACCTTACTAACTTTTGAAAAGCTAAAATTGAACATATTTATCGACTAGACATTGCACTTGTGTAAATTAAAACTTCAATTAAAGTCTGTTCTTGTCAGTCAAAGTGGTTCACAAATCAATCCGAATGAGTAAATAGCAAATTGATCTGAATCTAAATTATTATCTTAAACAACTGGAAAAGTCATGGAAATGAATTGGTCAAATATGTGGAAACTTTTGTTTTGAACTTGAATCTTTCCTTTAATCACCTAATACTTTAGTTGCACCATATACTTTTATGAGGTCATTATGTGTGAACTACCAAACATGCCTGGGTGTCAGGTGAGTAATGTAGTATTTGGACGCACATCCTGTATCTAGTCATGGAAACTCTTGGTATCCTTCATCAGCTTGACAACTAATGACATTACACTTAAAAGTGATGCACTTCCATATAATCTAAAGACAAACATTTACTGGAAGCTAAATAAATGCTCACTCTATGTGTGTTTTTGTGCAGTCTGAATAACATCCCGTCGGACGGTAAACGCTCTACTGTGAGAGGCACTGGTTCGGAGGGCGGCACTTCCCTGGACTGCTCCGTAAACGCAGTCGATTTTAAGACCTTCAAAAGCACCTGGAATGAGGAAGTGCATAAAAACAGAGAAAAATGGAAAGCACAGGCTGCCAAAGGTATAAACGCAAACATACAGTGGGTACGGAAAGTATTCAGACCCCCTTAAATTTTTCACTCTTTGTTATATTGCAGCCATTTGCTAAAATCATTTAAGTTAATTTTTTTTCCTCATTAATGTACACACAGCACTTAATAAAAATCGAGATGATGTGCTATTAGTAATGCTTGCAACTGTTGCTCGTACTAAGGGTTAGGGATTTAAACAAACCCCCAAAATATTAATATTTAGCTATTTGGTAACTTACGCTGAACATAAATAAAAGATACATCAAGTAGTGATGCGCTGGTTGGACAATGGATCCAGGCCATATCTAAAGACCAGAAAATCATGAGAGTAAGAGCTCTAATGACTTGGGGCAGTAAGCAAAGCCGTAGCAACTGTACAGAACACCCTAGCAACCACATAGAACACCTTATCAATTGTATAGCAATACCCTGGCAATCATTTACAATGCCTTACTATGCAAGGCCAAGCAGCACTCGTCTCTTCAGAAACTGTGAAAATCTAGCTTTCATTCAGAAATAGAAATGAATTCAATATGAATAAAAGATTTAAAAATAAATCTTCATAACTTGAATCTAGATCTCCATTTGGCACAGATTTTGTAGATGAAAAATGTTGTAATATTAAATCACGATTTACTACAGTACATGTGTGGATTGACTTAGAATGTGACAGCTGATCTCAGAGGAATGCTTTGTCATTTCAAAGAAATGTTTTCTGGCAATACTTCACATTAGACTTCCTGTTTCATTCATTTCTATTCATACTTGGCCTGTGAATTCAAATAGTGTTCAAACAAAAAAGGATCTGAATGTCACAGACTGACAGACTTTTTTTTTTTTTCCAAGGAAAGGAATACTTTTAGTTACCAATGACTCATTATATTGATCAAAATTTACAGTAGAGACATTTATAGAATTGAAAGTTTTCTGTTTTGAACATTCTATTCATCAAAAATACTGAAAAAAATGGTTTCCACGGAAATATTAAGCAGAACAACTGCTTTCAACATTGACAATAAACAGAAATTATTATTTCTGAAGACTGGAGTAATGATGCTGAAAATTCAGCTTTGCATCACAGGAATAAATTACATTTTAAGATATATAAAAATAGAAAACAGTCATTTTAAATAGTAATAATATTTAACAATATAGCTGCTTTAATGTATTTGGTAAGCATAAGAAACTTCTTTCAGAAACATTAAAAATTCTTACCAACCCTAAACTTTTAAACAATTAGTGTATCCAGAATTCGAATATCCCATATGCAATATTCCATATTCGTAATTTTTTCATGCTTAAAGTGACCTCACTTTCACAGTGCCAGTATTGATGAACTGAATTTGTCTGTGTTAGATCTGGAAGAGAAGGCCAAACAGGAAGAGACCGAGGAGAAAGATAATGAAACCGACACAGACACAAGACAAGAGAAGGATTCAAAGACAGATAGAGAAGCTACAGGCAATAACGAGGAGCCCACAGAGCAACAGCCCAGAGAGGAAGAGGGCAATAAAGACCCAGGGGGGGGGAATGGGGCTCAAACACCAGCGTCCGATGCCAAAGAGCCCGAGACCAGCAGTGACACGGACAACAGCCAGCGAGCGCACAACGGTGAGCGTCAAAGTTTTCAAATCTGTTGATTTTTTTATTTTTATTTGATTTTATCCCAATATTACTTTTCCTAAACTATTTCTAATCCTAAACACCTGTACTGACCGATACTTTGGTTTACCTTATGCATGATATAAACTAGTGGTTGACCGATATGGGTTTTGATTATTTTAATATTTTTAACATTATTAATATTATTGACATTACATCTGTATATAATGTTAAATAATGTACATGATGTAAACTAGTGGTAATGGCCAAAGCCAATAATGATATTTATATACTGGCTGGTTGTTAGCAGATGCCAAAAAATACATAAATATTATTAAAAATAATATTTTAAATATGTAATAATATTGTTTATTGTTTTTATTATTATTACATCATATATTTATTTAATGTCCAAAGAAAAGTAATGAAATTGCAGAATTTAAATAACTTATATTAAAATAAATTTAATTTGGAAAATATATATTTCCTCAGAATTAATTTAAAATACTGTGCAATTGTAATTTACACAATATTTTCTCAAAATGAATTAAAAAAAATAATAAAAAGAAAAAGATTTGTGAACAGAATATGTAGAGTGTGAATATGACAAAGTTATCATACTATACTAATAATCAATATTTCAAAATGGCTAAATATGGGCCCGTCTATACAGGTCTATCACTCACTACCGTAAACTACTATTCTTGCTTTACCACTTTTTCTCGCTTACTATTGTATTTGTTGTAACCAAGCACTATCGCAGCCAAACTATTACATGTTGGAAAGAAGGTGGCTTTGTTCGTAAATGTTTTTAGTATACTTTAGTATACTCTAATTCTTATGTGTTTTGTAGTGTGCTCTATAGTGTATTCTGTCCTCTACAATTTACAGTGTGCTGTGTGGTGTATAGAGTGCCATGTAATGTATAGCGTTTAATGTCCTCAAGCAAGCATACTAACTAGCGTATACTACTTACTAGTGTTGTACTCTGCAATGTATTGTGTTTTGCAAGCGCTGTGTGCTGCAGTATGCTGAATTCTGTGGTGTATATGCATTTATGTTCTTGTCAGACATGTTTTACTACAGCTAGAAAAGGGTACAACAAAGTTTACAATTTTTCAGAAAGAACGGTTAAACGTTTAGTGTAGCAGACCAAATGGATGGATGTTTATGTTAGAAAAGCGATCGTCTTTTCTTTTATTTGTTTGTCTGTTTGTTTGTTCGCCCTGAGTGGACTCAGTTAGTGACCCGTGTCTTATCTGAATGTCAGGGAACGAGGAACTGAACTCACCTGACAGTGACGACAGTGAAAGCAAGAGATCGGACGGTAACGCCATCATCTCTTTTAACTGCTGTTGGCATCACATAGCGGCTGAATGCTAATTTGCATACTAGCAACCTAATTTGCAGCACTGTGTCCTAACCACCAAGTTTGCAGTTACAAGTCTGTCCACACTCACAACAGAAATCACAGCAAATCTGATGTTTTAACCAATGAGGTTTCACACAGAACTGGTTGGGGGGAAAAAAATAAAAAATTAGCATGGAAGAGATTTTCCTGAATTTTTATTGGTGGTTTTACTGTGCTGCACCTGGTTAGGACACAGTGTACAATAGTGACTGCAACATCATAAAACTGCACTCGCATAATATAGAAAAAACTAGCATCTTGGGAGTCATATCAGTCCAAAGAAACACTCAAGGATGCATTCCGCTAAAATCTACTGGAAGTAGTTTGCTTTCTGGTCACCTTTGGCATACTTTATATTAGTAAATTATGATTTAGTACACACTCCCTAGCTCATACTTATTTAGAACAGATAGTATGTAAAATGGGATTCAGTCGCTATCAGCAGGAGAGCTACTTTAGGTTCATTTCCTCTCATCAGGACAATTGGCAGAAAAACCCATGGTGATTTGATTTGACATCTTAACGCATTTTCTTTCACCTCTGCATTTCACCCAAAAATGAATCTGTTTACTTGGCCTTGTGTTGTTCCAAACCTGTATGACTTTCTTTCAGGTACAATGTCCCAGACGTTTTTGTCCATACAGTGAATGGGGCTCTTGCTCTGAAAAAGAAGGTCCAGAAAAGTAGTCCATATGACTTATACATTATGTACAATAGTTTTGTTTGACATTTAACACATGACCAATAGTCACTGATGTTAAACTGAGCTCATTGCTTCTTTGGTGCTTTTTTGTTTTGAGCTTTGACAGCCCCTTCCCAATTCACTTTTCTTCACTTTTCCAATTCAGTTTACTTTTATGAAAGAACAGCCAAGACATTCTGTCAAATTTTGTGTTCCACTAAAGAAAATCATATGGGTTTGGATTGACATGACCACATTTTCATTCTTAATTGTTTCATTCAAAATCACCTGTTCTGAGATGATCAGATGTATTATATACATCTACAAAGATTTTCCATATATGTGGTTAGTTCATCCAAATTAAGCTCAATTCCCTCCATCTGATTGTAAACACGTGGCATGTCAGTTGTCTTAGCGCCTCATTCCCCTGTCAGACATCAGTCAGAGCTGTGGAACAGGAGCTCTAAATGTGCCAAATATCTGCTCTCCTCTGCAGACTCAGAAGACGAGCACAGTCACTGTGGGATCTCCCCCTCTTCACTGGCAGACAGTGCAGCCGCTGCATCTGCGCCTGATGCAGACTAACAGCACTCCAAATCCTGTACTATGCTGTCACCTGGTGGTTATTTTTTATTATTCATCTTTTCTTTGTTTTGAGGACGTTTCACGTCTTAAAATCAGATCCGATGGAGTTTTTTTTTTTTTCCCATACTTTCTTGACTTTAAGGATGTACTCCAGGTTTTGGTTCAGAGATACACAAAACCATTAGAGAACTGAGACTTTGGTGCAAAACGGACGTTAGAAAAAAGTCATGCATGGTGCCGCGGTGGCTTTTGGAAACTGTTGTCATCAAAGCCACATGCATGAAGATGAAATGTGTCCCGTGTCGAGTCGATGGAGACCAACCCCAGCTGATGTTCTTCCCTCGGGGACAAAGCGACATCTGCCGACCGCTCAAGCACCAAACCTGCACAGACAGCGAGCGGAGAGCTTCAAAGAACTTCAGTCCCTCAGAGCGCTCATGCAACCAGATCACCTTCACCAGGCCGTCGTTACCACGTCCAAAGAATGTCTGCAGAACTGCTGTTTGTTTACCTCTTATTTTTATTTGTGTTAGTCGTACATTTGATGTTGCTGTCGTCCTGTTTTTTTTGTTCTGTGTTGATACTGATACTGTACAGTTTCCATTGTGTGTCTTCTGTACATATGCTTTCAGGAGCTTCTTGATGTCGAACCGTGTATGTTATTGAGGGTTTGATCGTTAGTTTAACGGCCCATAATCCTTTGCCAGTATCCTTGCCAATGTCACTTTGATCATAGAAGATTTTTTTCACAAATAGTTCAGTTCTGTCACAATTTGGCGTAACTTTGACAAACTATTCGAATGATTTTGTCGTATGTGATTTGCACAATATATATTTTTTATATATATATATATATATATATGTCAGCTGGATATTGTGAAATTACAAAGAAAATGAATGCTTATACAATGGGGTCCAAAAGTCTGAGGCCACATTGAAAATCTGGGGTTTTCTTGGGGGGAAGAAAAAAAAATGAATATATCAAAATACAAGTGTTATGATGTTAAATGAGGAATAAATATTTAATTAGTAATTACTAATGTACACTTTTCAACTTTTCACTCAGATTAATACATTTAGTATATTGTAATTTAAACATTTTTAAAATGAATACATTTTCTTTCATTAAATTATAAAAATAATAAATTAGCCTCAGATTTTTGAACCCCACTATACATATTAGGAACAATTCATCCAGAAATGAAAATTCACTCAGGCCAATTAAGATGTAGATGAGTTTTTTATTCATCAGAACAGATTTGGAGAAATTTAGCATTACATCACTTGCTCACCAATGGATCCTCTGCAGTGAATGGGTGCCGTCAGAATGAGAGTCCAAACAGCTGATAAAAACATTACAATAATCCACAAGTAATCCACATGACTCCAGTCCATCAGTTAACATCTTGTGAAGCGAATGTTTGTAAGAATCAAATCCATCAAGGCATTTTAACTGTAATTTAATTCTCATTCTGACGGCACCCATTCACTACAGAGGTGAACGAGTGATGTAATGCTAAATTTCTCCAAATCTGTTCAGATGACAAAAACCCATCTTAGATGGCCTGAGGGTGAGCAAATTTTAATTTTTTATGTGAACTATTCGTTTAACATGAATGAAGGTACAGTTGCCCTTTTAAATAACAAATTATGTCTGATTTCTGTGTTATTATGAGCTAAATCTGATGGGCCAATTAAACCTCTGCAAACATTGTAAGCTCTTCAAACCCTTAAGGTGTAGTAAATGTAATTATTTTGACATTAGGTTATAGTTTGAGTTCTTCTATTTTTGTATTTAATGTATATAAATGATTATATTATTTATGAAGCGTTTATAGGGAAATTTGGTATGAACAATGAACAATGAACAATATAGATTAATTGTAGGAAGGTGTACTATTCATGCTTAATCCAATCTCTGAGAGAATTATGACAGAGATTTAAAGGAATCTTATTTTTATTTTTCAATCTGGTAAAAGAAGAAATAGAACGTTTAGAAAGTATGTTTTAGCACGAGCATCTTCTGTCAGGTGCTGCGTGCTGATATTACACTTTAGTTCACTGTCCTAGCGATGTACGTATGTCCCTGTCTGTGCCGCTCATCTTCTCAAAGTATAATGCACCTGTCCATGTGAATCTTTCTGTAAATCAGTTTCATACATAAATTGTAAAATGCAGAAAAAAAAGTAAATAAGGAAAAAAAAGGCCTCCTTGTAAATAGGCTGTTATAAGTAGGCAGCAAAATCCAGTGTAAATGTCTCTGCTGCCTCAACCAAAGATGATTATAATGCCTGTACGTTATTTATCTGGAGGTCATTGCAAGCCATCATTCATGCATACTTCTTATGAGTCACTGGTTGGAAAGCAAGAAAGATAAAAAAAAAAAGAAGGAAGCATTGTTGCCTTAAATCTATTATTAATTACAAATCCTTGTGAATCATTCTCTGTTGACATTAATAGAATATTTGTGTTCATCTTCCTGTTTAGTTGTCCTCTTCTGACTCGGTTCGGAGTCATCACACATCTCTTTTTTTTGTGCTTATGTCAGCGTTTTCATATCTAAGAGACATTGAAGTGATTTCATCATTTTGATTGTGAAGCTGAATTTTGCAAAACTCATTTGATTGGTTGATACTGTGCCATTCTAAATATTATAGATGTAATAATGATATCATTTTGTTATGTTTTTTATTTTGGTCAATGCCCCTCCCCTCCTATTACACAAGCACAGAGTTCATATATCAGATATCATTTTCTTAATTAGTATTTTTCAGCAAAAAAATCTAATAATTCTTAAACATATATATATATATATAATTAAAATAATTGATTAAAAGAAGAAAAATCTTTTTTTAAGAATGTTTGGATATTTTTGAAATTAAAAACAACACAAATACTGATTAAGAAACGTCCTTGCTGGATGAAATGAGTACATACTAAGTTACACTAAGTTACACACACTAGCTCTTTGACTATAACTGTGTTTTTAGAAATTTCTTGCCTCTCAAATCTTGAAATTTCAGTAGTCCTTTTCAAGCACATTTAGGCTCAGAATGTGAGATTATTTAGGTGAAATGCTGTACATTTATAGAATATTGAAGTTGATGAGTAAATATGGCACAGTGAGATATTCTGCCTTAATAAGTGTGTTTAGTTCTGCTTTGTAGTAACTGTCATGTGTTCAGCTCAGTTGAGTGCATATACGTGTTTGCCAGGAAACCTCGATGTCAAAAGTAAGCTATTTTTATTAGTTTTTTTTGGTTTGAAATCCTCATGTACTGTGTATCTTCTTCAGCACTCAAACACAGACCAATTTCTATTAGTAAACTGAAAGGATGCTCTGATCAGCAGTGCACTAGCAGCGTAAATCATATAGTGCTGTACAGCCATCTGTTGGCTATCTAGTGTACTGCATCACTGCAGTAAAACACATTTTGAGATCCACACATTGTTTTGTTTACTTTTTTATTACGTCCCGAAGTATAATTTGTCATGAGATTGTTTTAACTTTTTCTACTTTAATGTCTGTTGATGCATTCACTATTTTTTATTTTTAAAAGAAAAAAAAATCAATCATAAGGCAGGTGTGGTCATGTGATCATGCTTGTTTCGATGCTCCTTAATTGCACTTTTGTGACAATAAATCTTTACTCAAAGGGCTCAGATGACGGGTTTGAGTCTTCATTTTGATATATATGATTTAAAAATGTACAGAAACTGTATTAACAGAATGGTTGTTAAGAATCTGCTCCGTTTTTTGCAGCTCCCACTCGCCGCAAATACCACCTGGTCAGATACAGTAAGAAACCCAGTTACTGTGTCAACTCCTACTTGCCCTCCCGCCCGCAGAAAGAGGACAGCAAACCCACAGACCCCCGTAGCAGGGCCAGACACCTACAGAGCATCTCTCTGAGACAGGGGAGGTGACTCCATCTATAGCACACACACTTCTGTCTGTTCTGCACTGATGATGGAGTTGAGTGATGCTATTTCAACCCAAAATCAAAAGAAAAACAAATAAGAAATTATATTCTGCATGAAGACAGTACTTTGACAATTAAGCAGTTTTGCTGAAGATTCTTATTACTGTAGTGTATACAGAAGATAAATAAATAGATAAAATAATTAATTAATTAATTAAAAACAGTAAAAAATAAAAAAGATTGTATTTTTTATTTACATTTTAATTAATTATATATATATTAGAATTTTGTAGTTCTTATTTTCAGTTGTGATGCCTATTGCCCTGATACAGTACTTTGTTGTATTAATTGTATTCCCATACCATTTTAATTATTTTAATCAACATAAATTAAACACATGCTACACTACAACAAATGATTCCATGATATATGAGTACTTTAAAAACAATGTTTATATATATATATATATATATACACAGGTGCATCTCAATAAATTAGAATGTCGTGGAAAAGTTCATTTATTTCAGTAATTCAACTCAAATTGTGAAACTCGTGTATTAAATAAGTGCTTAATTTAAATTTTTTATTTATTTATTTTATTTATTTTTTTGGTCATTCTTATTTTCAGTTGTGATGCACATTGCCTTAAACAATGCTTTTAATTGTTCCCATACAAAAAATAGTGTAATACAAATTTTAAAAACAAAAACAAGTAAGTCAACATTAAGGCACCACAATAAATGTTACCGTGAAGTATGAATGCTTAAAAAAATTATCTGATATTTTTTCACTTTATTTTAATTATCATAATGAGAATTATGCAGCAAAATCTTATTAATTGTGCAACATATATATATATATATATATATACACACACACATATATATATTTATTTTTTATTTTGAGGTCTTGAGATGTACCCAGTTAATGTAACCTGCTGTTCATACGTAATCACACACTGAAACACCTGTACATACTATGTTGAGTATGTTCAGTAGTTCTGCAGATATTGATGTTGATATAGATAAATATCGTCTCTGTTTTCCATATGACATAAAAATCAAACACATGCACCAAATTCACACTTTTCCAACCTTTATGCTACGATGTTCATATTGGATTTAAAAAGATGTTCTTTGCATCATTGCAAGTTGTGTTTCTACAGCATTACACTCAAATGACGAAATGACAACGCAAAAAATATCTGCAAAACCTACATTTAATGAAGGCTCAGACGACAATCAAAAATAACACTAACAAGAATGAAAACTGAATGTTTTTAAAGACATCTACTTCTTCATCTCCTTCTCCTCATCCTCCTGATGAATCATTCGAGCCTCTGTCTTCATCAATCTCACGCCTGCGAAAGAAAAGCGCAGAGAACTGAGACAAAGAGATGGATGGAGAGGACGTGAGGGTGATTGAGTGAAAGGATGACAGAAATCAAAATCTTGCCTGGTATGAGTGGAGGGCTGCTGAGTACGGGAGTGTCTTTCCTGCGGGGTTTCTTCTGTCCCGGTTTGTCATGCTGATGTTCCTCGGAGCTGTGCTTCTGATTGTCCATTTCAGCGTTCCCATCTGCAGGAGAACATTTCAGAGACAGGTTCACAAAGCTGGTCTGTGTGTATCAGTCAGACTGTCGCCTTTGTTATTCCCGCTGGATGCCGTTCACCCAAATTTTGACCCTTTTATTGTCATTATATAGCGCTTTTCCTTAAAAAACATTGTGCATGCAGATATCCATGCAGAAATGCAGTGAAAAGCAGGCTGCGGTACTCACAGAGATGTTCGTGCATGGCTTTGTCTGAGAGTGACCTCACGCAATCAGTGGACATGCTCCCCACAGCAGTCTGTTCAGGTATCAGATAACAGCACACACACACATATACATGACAAAGGCTCTGTCATATTTACTGGAAAGCATAGTTACTGAACGTGTGAATGGTAGCAAACTAATTAAGCAAAACAGCTTCTCACTTTGGGCTCTGAATTTAATATTATTATGGTTAATTATGCAATGTCAAAGCATAATACTTAAATGCATCACATTAAATTTACAAAAAAAACTTGTTTAATTCCATGTTAATATTCATTTTTCCAAAAAAAAAAAAAAAGGTACTTTTTCCTGGAAAGCAAATAAAAATGTGCAAAATTTACATTTGAGGCTCAGTCAGCAATCAAAAATAACATTTTGAGGCTTTTGTGATCTGATGAATTTTAATATTTAATTTATTCACATACAAACCAAATACGTATATTATTATTACAAAAAATTACATTCACACATTTACCTGAAATGTATCTGAAATATATATACGAAAATATATAAATCATATTTCAATAAGTAACAAATAACATTTGCTTCAGATTTGATGTGTCCATCTACAATTAAAACATACGGCATCATAAAATAGCCCATATATATATATATATATATATATAAATGGTAAAAAAAATTACCTATGTTTAAATACTCCAAAAAAAAAAAAACACAATATATACTGTAAACATTTTACTATTTAAATATTATTTATTAATCAATTAACATCTGCTGAAATATTTTGGTATTTATCTTTCAATCTAGAAAAGAACTAAATAAGTGAATTATAAGAAAGAGAGAGAGGCCTTACCTCAGTGCAGCAGAGAGACGGAGAGCGAGTGCAGGCCAGATCAAAGACAGGGGTTATGTACTTCAGGAGGAGGGGCCTCTTCTAATTCTGTCTCCATTAGAGCCTGTTGTCTTGGTGACAGAGGCCCTTGTCATGTGTCAGTCATCCCAGCTTCCATGAACACACGTCATCGAGGTTAATGAAACAACTTCAACACTTTAAGCAGTGATTCCAACACGATGGAGGTGAGGTTTGGTAAAACGGAGTGTGTTAAGATAATGTCTTCAATGCAGTGATTCCTACTTCATTTGGTTTTGATATTAAGTGCATCCATATATAATTAAAATATACCACATCATAAATAGCCCAATAATATTTAAGATAATTTTACGCGTATACACTCACCACAACTCATTACTAGCTCAGTTGAGAGCGTGAAGAAGAGGAAATGAATAATAATGGAAAACAATGTGGACATTGTTTAGCCTACTGACAGGCTTTGATGTCTTTCTATACTCCTCTGATGTAAATGATGTTTCCTCCTCCCGTGAGGAGTGTGTATGGAGAGTGTGTGAAGTGGTTTTGATTATTTTTTCATTCACTGAACCATAGTCTACTACCTTGTTAAACACAACACTATATAAACAGTCCATATGCCAACCTGACGCGTGGTAAGGGAGCGTCTGCCAAGAACATAAATTTAAACGTAAAAACCTGGTCAGTCTGCATAAGGATGCAGTGCGGCACTTTACACACGATCCCTAAATTCTGAAAGCGCCGTTACAGTACGCGATTTTTTAACTGATTTTTTTTAAACACAGATACTGATCATTACTTTGTTTAGGGGGTAGTAACGTTACAACGATTTGAAACAAAATATTATTTTTTATATTCCTGAGAACATATTTGAGGAAGTGACATCGAAGTATTTCTGATAAAACGATTCAAACAGGTAAGTTTCTCACAGTGTAATTACTCCGTATTTAATTATTTTCACACATATTGTAAAGCTTAATACTTTGGCTTGGTTACATGGCAAAACAGTGAATAGTTTGTAGGCACAAAAGCATTTTAACAGCAGCATTGGCCTTCAACTCCGAAACGTTAACATTCCCCAAAACATTTTTAATGTGACAAACAATTGAATGGTTACTGCACAAAACGTGTTTTGACACTGTTATGACTTGTAATACCTTCTGATTTATTACACCAAAACTGCATGTATACAATATTTATTCAATTATGAATTCTGTGAATGTCAAACCTAATCTTGGTTAGTAACACAAGTTAAATATCAGTACATAACTATAATTCAAGAGGTAAATTGGCTACTGAGAAAACCATAAGTTACTGTATTTATTTTGTAGACCATTATTCTAAATTTTAACTCTATTACTATTACATGGTCCTCCATACCCCACAGCTGTCCCAGTTGGGAAATGTTTATTTCTAAGGTTCAACAATGTTCTTAAATGAAGTTATTAAAAAATAGGCCTACTGACATTTTCAGCAGCAGATGGTTTCATTTCCTGAGACTGGGCCATAACTGTTGGAGAGCATCTCAGGAACAGTGAAGGAACCATCAGATCATTGTCCAATCAGACAGCGGGACCAGCGCCATGTCATCCACTGCTTCATCAGGAGAGCTGCAGTTTCCTTATATGGTCAGTGCAACACCACAATGATATGAAGTGTTTCATTACAAAGACACAAAGATGGAGAGGGAGCGAGAGTGTTAGGCTACTGGGAGGAGGTTCACTCTACATAAGAGACGTCTGTGCTGTGCACACATAAAAACTCAAATGGACACATGATAATGGTATATACATAATTCTTTATTAGTTCTGTGGTCAAGAGTCAGCACTTCACTTTATAAGTGACTTCCAAAAGAAATGGCGAAATGGGTCTTCATCACTGCTGCGTCACTACATAAAAGGAAAGAACAAAATTATTAGTTTTGTATGTTGCATTCATGTCAAATTAAATTCCATTCAGACCCCATAAAATATTTGTCCATATTTTTTAAAAACAATTGTTTCCACCACATGATAAATTCTGCAATTCTGAGAGTATATCTCACAGTTATGCTCTCTTTCTCACAAAGAGAAAAGTCAAAATTGTGAAAAGTCAGAAATGTCAGATATACACTTGCAAATGTGAGAAAAAAAGTTAAGATAAAAAGTCACAATCACCTTTTTTAATTCTGTGGCAGAAACAAAAAGATCTGAATTGCGAGATGTAAACTCAAAATTCTGAGAAAGTCAGAATTGCGAAATATAAACTATTATCGACAAATGATTTTATTGGGTCATTAAGTAAAATTAACTTTTGATTTCAGACTGAAGCAGAAAACAAACCTTATTCCAATGAGTTATTGTTCATTGAATGTTGTAATGAATTTTTCAACTGAAAGATACAAATGCACAATTAACAATGCGTTAGGACATTATCATTATCAGA